GTGCATGACTAGACCTTTTGTGGAAAAGACTCCCTATGAGTTATTTAAAGGGAGAAAACCAAATATATCCCATCTTAGGGCATTTGGATACAAGTGCTTTGTGCATAACAATGAAAAGGACTCCCTAGGTAAGTTTGATCCCATAAGTAATGAGGGTGTATTCTTGGGATATTCTTCACATAGCAAAGCTTATAAAGTGTACAACAAAAGAACTATGTGTGTAGAAGAAAGTGTACATATAGTTTTTGATGAAACTAACATTCTTTTTGAGAGACGGGAACATGAAGATGAAGCTATTGGTATGGTAAAAGGTTTAAATGAAGCTACAACCCAAGCTGAAGCTGCACCAGAAGAAGGAACAGGTGATGGTACCCAGGGCAACATGACATGGGGAACTGATTAGAGAGGAACTGATCCTCAAACCTCAAGGGAACCTGTCTATGAACCTATTCCTTAGTAACAAAATCAGGAAGGAACATCCAAAGAAATTGACACTCCTGTTACAACATCCACGAAATTGGATATAGATGAACCTGGTTCATCTGTTGATCAGAAGTTGTATAAGGGAATGATTGGTTCTCTTTTGTATTTTACTGCTAGCAAACCTGACATTGTTTTCAGTATAGGTCTTTGTGCTCGATTTCAGGAAAATCCAAAGAAGTCCCACTTGACTATTGTCAAGAGAATATTGAGATACTTGAAAAGCACCACTGACCTTTGCCTTTGATATCCAAAAGGTATTAATTTTAACCTAATGGGATATGCTGACGCTGATTATGCAGGTTTCCTTGTGGAAAGGAAGAGCACCTCAGGTATAGCACACTTCCTTGGTTCATGTCTTGTGTCATGGGCTACCAAAAAGTAAAATTCAGTGGCCTTATCTACTGCTGAAGCGGAGTATGTTGCTCCTGCTTCATGTTGTGCTCAATTGTTGTGGATCAAACAACAATTATTGAACTCTGGAATTGATGTTGGTTGCATTCCTATTTTTTGTGATAACACTAGTGCTATTAGTATGACAAAGAACCCGGTTCATCATAAGAGAACTAAGCACATATATGTTAGACATCATTTTTTGAGGAACAACTATGAGAAAGGTTTGATCACTGTGGAGTTTTGTACTACTGACAAGCAAATTGCTGAAATCTTCACAAAAGCCTTAAGTAGAGATCACTTTGAGAGGAACAGGTTGGAATTAGGAATGATTAAGATCACCTAAAAGGACCAGTTCAAGGTTAAACGAAAAAAATGAAAAACAAAATTGGTTAGAAAGTTTGTAAATTGTATAAAATTAGATTAAATCTTGCTCGGTCTCATACTTTCCATAGTATACTCTTGTGCCATATGTTAAAATGACTCATTAATCTCTAATGATATTTTCTCTATTTTGGCAAATTTAGACTTACACAAGAGAATTATCAGTGAAGAACCTGGTTCATCAGGATAACACAATATGTTTTCTACACTATGCATAATTTGGAATAACTATATTTGGATCATGAGCAGAGTCCTACCAAATACCAAAGTTCTTTTGAACTTATCCATTACAAGTGAACCGATTACGTTCAAGACTCCTGGCCGTATTAAACTACCTAGATTCTTTTAAGTCTGCTACCCAGGGGGAAAAAAGTGGTTCTTCCGAAATTGAACAGGTATCTTCTGATTCTAAAGTTTCTCCTGAGACAATTTCTATAGTTGCTGCAAATTTGGAGAACAGATTTGTAGCATCTATAGAAGGTGTTGAGACTACAAAATCTTGAGAAGTTGGTGGTAAAAATGAAAAAAAGGAGAGCAAGGGTGCTAGGAGTACTGTGAGGGAAAAAGGGACAAGAGTGGCTGATTCTTCACCCACTCTTGTGAGTTTAACCAAATCGCATGTGCAATGGTTGTTTGGGGAGATGAACTTGGTTCATTTATAGAGGAAACCTTCGCATACCTGCTGAAGAAAGTGACTGAAAGCTATAATCCATCTTCTTGATAGAATTATCAATGGAACCAAAACTCATACCATTCCCTATGGCTTAATTCTCACAACTATGCTTGCACATTTCAATGTACCTATGAAAAGGTGGGAGGTTAGTACAAGTATGAATAATTTTTAGGTTAATACTCTGCTTGCTTGCGATTATGAAGTCAATATCACTCTTAAAGAACCTAGTTCATCAAAAAAGGTACCAGTGAATAGCAAGGTCAGAGCCTTGGTGCAAGAAAGTGGGGCTAAAGATGCTGAGATTGAAAGGCTGAAGAAGAGGTTGGTTGAGGTGGAGACTAAGAGAGATGCTCTCAAAACTAAGCTAACAAGAGAAAAAGGAAGAATGATGGCATTCTTCAAGGTATGCTGAAACTCCTCCAAGTCAAAAACCAAGCAACTAGTTCTTCCCAGCCTTAAGCCTCCTAACCTAGCGTAGATCAATCAGTGACCCAGTTTGGGACATTTTGTTTCTTTTGCTCATGTTTTCAGTATTTTTATTTCTTCTTATGCTCTGTGGTGGAATCTTATCAATCATCAATGATATTCACTATTTTTTCTCTAACTTTTTGTTTATATTTCTTTGATGGTTAAAATTCTTAGCTTGATCTATGATGATTAATCCATGATTGTATTTGAAGTAGCTCCAGTGGCCATGAGTAAGTTTTAAAATCTGGTTATCTCATATTTTTATGCAACTTTTTGATGATGTCAAAGGGAGAAAAAAGGTTGTGCTTTAAACAAGTGGTGTTTAGCTTTGAATAGTGATGTTTATAACCTAATATACTTGGTCCTTGATGATAAGCGATAAAAAGGAAAAATATTTCTAACATTGTGTTGATGTTGAGCTGAGTTGAAACAGAGCCTAAGCATGTGAAAAGCATAGAGTTTGTCATCATCAAAAAGAGGGAATTTGTTGGCCCAAGTGAAGGTTAGTTTTGAAGATTGACAAAGGAAACTCAGGCATGAACCAGGTCCATCCCTCAGATGCACAAAAATAGGTAGATTCGAGCATGTGGGATGCACGTGAAGGAGATAAGCTTAACTTGGTGTATTTAATATCTCCTGATCGAAAAAGTTGCATAATTGATAAGGAAAAGGACTCCTTAATCAAAGAGAACACTATCCAAGATAGGGAAGGAGTTAGAAGTTGAATTCAACTGGAACTCTTCCACCAAAACTCTAGTTATTTCTTCATATAAGAACTCTATAAATTGCAGGATGTTCTCATATTAATGTATTGCACAAAAATGCAGAAGTTAAACGTGAATTGAGAGCAAAATAGCAAGGCTTTTTGCAAGCAGTTCGTGTGTGATTTAAGTGTGCAAACCTGAAGCTACATGAACCAGATTGAAGAACCAACTCCATAAAGAGTTTTATGTGTCTTTCTTTATTTCTAGTTCAATTGTAGTAGGTGTTTTCATATTGTACCTTCCAGCTTTATCTAAAAGCAATTGTAATAGGTATTTTGAGTATTCAAGTTAGAGTTAACTTGAAGTTGTCGCAACAGTTAGAGGACGGTTGCTACAATGGGATTAGAGGTAATTCTTAGGTTTACAAAGAGTTTTGTAAATGTTGTTTTGGCTCAGTGATTTAGTGAAGTGTTGGAGAAAATCCTACTAAGTAGTAGGTCGTGGTTTTTTCACCTTTTGAGCTAGGTGTTTTCCACGTAAAAATACTTGTGTTCTTTACTTTCTATATTTATTATTCCGCAACAGTAGTAGAAGGAATACATAGAAGAACCAGGTCCTTCCATAATCAGTTTAAGCGAAAAATTGGTCACCACACAAATCACCCCCGTTTTGTGTGGTATTGAAGTATAAAACATCACTTTCAGTTTTATTTTTCAAGAACTCCAAAATCTGGTTTTTCTTGTCCTTGCAATTAAGTTTAAGAAAACTAACAATTGCGAGATATTCTGTTGGAACTATATAGGACAGGATTTTTGTGTCGAAGGTTTCAAATAATTGACTTTCGACCAAATGTGCTTTGTGGAAGGACAATTTTGACTACGTGTAAATAATTGATAGTCAAAAGAATCGCCATGTCCTTGTGTTAATTAACATTTATTATAAGCCCATCTATATATAAAAAAAAAAAAGAAAAAAAAAACAATTGGTTGGACATGCTTGGTGATGGATTGATTATATATAATACATCGAATGGTAAGTGCATTGTCGTAATGCAAATTAGAATCATATAACTTCTTTCTTATCTTTGCATTTGCATTTGGTGTTCTCGTTCTTGGTTTCTTTTCCTTTTTCTTGCCTTTTTTCTTTATTGTTACACAAATAGCCAGCAAGATTCAATATTTACTTTTTCTAGTCAGTAAATGATTATACTGTTAATTTGTTGAATCTACACTCAATGTTCCTAGTTTCATAGCATGCAATTGAATGTATAGAAGAATCAGGAAAGATATAGAAGAGGGAAATGAAGAGAAGACAACTCCATTTTTGCTTCTGTTGAAGAAGAAGAAAGAATACAACTGATTTCTGGAGGGGCACTGTTTATTTAACAGAAAACACGTGCCCTTCCTACTCTCTAAAATTATGACCCTCAACTTCTTTTCTTTACACTTAGGTCCCTCAATTAATTTCCTAACTAACTAACAACTAACTCTAACTAGTGTTCTTGATACTCCCCCTCAAACTGGAGAATGGAAAGCATCGAACATTCCCATTTTGGACATCAACATTTGATGCTGAGCTACTCCAAGTCCCTTTGTCATCATGTCTACTACTTGTTCTCTTGTAGAGATGTAATGGGTGGATATTAATCCATTTTTGATCTTTTCTCTCACAAAATGGCAATCGATCTCAATGTATTTTGTCCGTTCATGATAAATTGGATTCGCAGCTATTTGTAAAGCTACTTTACTATCACAAAAGACCTTCACTAGCATCTGCAAGGACACATCAAATTCCTTTAACAATCTAATTAGCCATACCAATTCTGCACTAACTGCTGCCATGCTTCTGTACTCTACTTCCGCTAAACTTCTACTGACTATCTGTTGTTTCTTGGACTTCTAGGAAATCAGTGATTCACCAAGCTTAATAACATAGTCTGTCACTAATCTTTTGGTGTTTGTGCAGGCTGCCCAGTCTGAATCACAATAAGCTGTAATCTCTTCCAATGTTCCCTTCTTCAATAGTATTCCTTTTCCTGGTGACCCTTTTATATATTTCACCACTTTCATAGCTGCCTCTAAGTGTGATTGTTTTGGATGTTGCATAAATTGACTTAGGACCTGCACTGCAAAGCAGATATCATGCCTTATTATAGTCAAATAAATCAACTTCCCAATCAACATCTGACAGCCTCCAATATCTGTCAGCTCCTCATCTCCTTTGAGTCTTACATGCTTATCATAGTCAATGGTGGTAAGCTTTTGATTTTGCTCAAGAGGTGAACTTGCAGGCTTTGCCCCACTTAGTCCTAAATCTGATTTGAGCTCTAGTGTATACTTTCTTTGATTCAATAGTATGCCTTTGTGTGACCTCATAATTTCAATTCCCAAAAAATATATCACTTTTCCTAAGTCTTTGAGTTTGAAGGACTTATGTAGGGACCTTTTAACTTCATCTATCATCTCACTGCTATTGCCAGTAATCATCAAGTCATCAACATATATCAAAATGATCACCAAGTCTATTCCTGACTTCTTTGTGAACAAGGAATGATCATAGGCACTTTGCACATATCCTGCCTCAGTAAGAGCATTGGTTAGCTTGATATTCTACTGCCTTGATGCCTGCTTGAGTCCATAAAGAGACTTAAGTAGCTTGCAAACCTGAGATTCCCCCTGCCTATGGAATCCTTGTGGCAAAGTCATGTAGACTTATTCATAAAGATCACCTTGCAGGAATGCAATATTTACATCCATTTGGAATACCTTCCAACCTGTAGAGGCTGCAAGGCTAATCACACTCCTTACAGTGACCATCTTTGCAATAGGAGAAAAAATCTCATGGTAATCAAGACTTTCCTATTGTGTGTAGCCCTTAGCCACTAAGTGTGCCTTGAACCTATCAACTTCACCATTGGCCTTGTATTTGATTTTGTACACCTACTTTGAACCAATTATTTTCTTTCTTGGTGGCAACTCTACAATCTCCCAAGTTTTGTTAGATTCAAGTGCTTGAATTTCTTCTTGCATAGCTTGAATCCATCTCCCATCTGCAGAGGCTTCATAGAAAGTCTTAGGTTCTATGAGAGTAGAGTTATTTGGGAGGTAGGCTTGATAGTGTTCTGGAAAATGTGTGTAGTTGACATAACTTGAAATTGGATAGGTAATGTGTCCTAATGGCTTCAAACCAGTGACATAATCTTTGAGCCAAATTCCAGGTTTTCTACTCCTGGTGGATTTCCTAAGGATGGGAGCTTCTGTATTGATAGCAGGTTCAATTGACCGTGATTGTTAAGTGGTAGCTTGATGTTCTTGCAAATCTGCTTCTACTTCCTGCATAGTGGTCAGAGGATCAGCTACAATATCTTCAGATGCATTTGGAGTAGGTGCATCAACTCCTGCTGGCTCATCCAAAACTGCATCTGATAAATCTGTAGTTGTGATGTTTGGTTGAGGGAGAAGAGCAGGGATTTCTTCTACCTCCATGTTTCCATTGCCTAGGTCTTCTTGTGAGTCAGTGATCGGTGCCAACCCTACACTTCTAAAAAGTAGCGAGAGTGGTCGAAGCAGCTTTTACCCGAGATGGTCGGCATCAATTTCCACAGGGAGCTAGAAATGGGAATTGGGTTCCTATCTAAATTAGAAATGCGTAATTGCTCTTAATTGTACTTCTAATCATAGTTGGTCTTTTGATTACTTCTAATATTATGCTAATAAGATACTAAATTAAGCTAAGAGTAAGATACTTAAAAGGTTGTCTAAATAGTTAAGAAGGCAGTAGGGAAGTGACTTTCTCCTAGGTGGATACTTGACGGGTTCTCGAGTCTAAGGCGAGATTGTCATGTTGGAGATTACGATATAACCAATGCACTAAACTTATCACTCTATACCTCTTGATAATTTGAGTGATTTTGCCCTAATTGACTTTCTCAAGACCAATTGGGTGTGATAATTTGTGCAAGCAATTTAGGTTCAAGTTGGGTATTACTATCTCTAGGTTTAACCCTTTATTTGGGGCTATCAATCTCTTGAATACGCTCCAATTCCTTGTTGGACTAATTTCCTAGACTCAAGTTCTATTTCTCAAGAAGAACCCAAGTCAAATAGGCACAAATTAGTGTTTGCAACCACTAATTCAACATTGAAACCATAAATTAGTTCAAATATCAAATACCCATAGACATTCAAGCCTTAAAACACAAGACCCATCAAATACCCATACTAGGGTTGAGCCACAACCCTAGCTAATGGGTCTAGCTACTCAAGATAATAGAAGAAAATTGAGAAATAGATGAAGATAAACCTATAATATTTAATTACAACCTAATACTTGAAGATTCAATGAAAAAACTACTCTAAAATTACTCAAAATGGTTAAGAGCTACTGTTCACGAGCGCAACCCAACATTAGAATACAACTGATGACCTAAAAATGGGAAAATAAACTATTAATACTAGGTTGAATTTTGTAGACAAAAATACCCGTGCGGGGGTACTGCGGTCCGCATAAAATTGAGTGTGACTGCAGTGAGGCTTATTCGCTTTGAACTCTGCTCTCTGAACTTGACCACCACGGGCCGCACAAAATGCACCACGGCTACGGTGGCTTCTGTTGCGGTCCGCACAAAAAGGACCGCGGACCGCATTGGCGTTGATTTTCAAAAGTCCCAACTCTCTGAACTCCTTCTTTGCGGACCGCACAATATCGAGTATGGCCGCGGTGAAGCCATTGCGGTCCGCACAAAATGCTTTACGGCCACAATGCTTGATTTTCCAAAATTTACACTCTCTGAATCTCTTCACTGCGGACCGCACCAAATGGAATGCAGCCGCAGTGGACCTGTTGCACTGTGCTTGCTCTTGTTCTTGGTACTTGTGCATGTTTCACTCCTTTTTGAGCTGGTTTTGGCTAGTTGTCACCTTTTTGACCAAACCCTGCATACAAGTACAACATGTAAGCCTTTAGGACTATTTTCTACACATTTTTAATCAATACAGAAGTAAGAAGGAGTCTAAAATGAACCATAATTCCTAGTTATCAACTCCCCCAAACTTAAGCTTTTGCTTGTCCTCAAGCAAACAAAATAAAACCCACCCCTTAAGAGGAAAACCAAGAAAATGCAGTCGGCCTAAAGTGACCTCATCTAGCATCAATTGGGACTAACAATTTCCCTCAATTCAAATGAATCATTAACAACCTTCACTCTTTTAAGCACCATGGTTTTAGTGCGACACATGAGCATCAAGAGTTGACTCAACCCATCAAAGAAACTCTTTCTACTACTTTGATCATTATGGAACCCAAACTCATACTCCTCAACTCTCTCTAAGCAAACCTTGCTTTTAGATTGTAGCACTCAGAACGAGGATAGTGGAAATACACTCATCTCTCTCAAAGAAAAGTCACAAGTTCGGCTGTAAGTACCATAAGCTTGCCCCTTATATGAGTTGCCACTAATGTAAGCTTCATTTAACTCAAGATCATATAGGGCTTTTGTGGAGATATAGTGAAGGCTTTTGGTTCAGGGTAGGAAATGTTTGGTCTAAGTAGGCTCCTTCTTCCCTTTAGCACTTCTTTTGCTTCATTTTGGCACATATTCTCTTAACTTTTTAAGTAATTTAACTTCTTTCTAAGGGGTTAGAAAGGCACACTGTAACTCTTTCTTGTTCATTTCAAACCTTTTCTCCTTTCTCAACATTCCACACCTTTCATCTCTTTACTTTTATTGAATCCCTTCATTTTTTTACATTGATCATTCTTTTTGTCTTTTTGATTTTCTTTCTTTTTCATTGCCTTTCCTTTTCTTCATTTTGTACCTTTTACCACTTTTTTGCATTCCTCATCTCTCCCCCAAAACTTATGCTTTTGCCTTGTGCTAAGGAAAGATCGGGTGCCAAGAGAGCGTATTTTTAGAACGGGTAAAGCCTTGTATCGTGGTTTTTGAAATAAAAGGCCTATGGCTCAAAAGGGTTGACTAGGGGATATTATCATTGGTAGGCTATGGAAGTGTTCAAGATATCATTCGGATCAAGGAGAGCCTATAATCACATCTCAAGTCAAATTACACTTAGGATTTTGCCTAGACAAACATTCAGGGCAAGTTCTAGACTAATGGCTCGGGACTTGGACTTGCAATTCAAATTCTTACCACACAAGCTTTGGAATTGCTAAAGAGACAGAGTCGTGGGCCCACAACAACCTTAGCTAAGATTTGAGCAACACAATGGTCCCAAAAAATCATTTGATGATTATCGGCCAACAGAAGAGTGTCAAGATCACCACTTTCACCATCCTATACACAATAATTTGTTTTTGACCATACGATCAAAGGTTAATGTGTTAGGCCCAAGTGAAGATTTACTTGAGGCACCCTTACCAACTAGCTACTCTTTACTCTAAAACCAAAAAGAAAACAGACTCAAACCCTTAAGAAGGTTGTGATGCCATCCATCATCGGGAAGAGCCACCCGGTTCACACAAATTCCACCTTTGGAAAGAACCGTGTCATTAAGAAAACCAAAGGCTTATTGCAAAAACTCAAAACAAGAAGCTACAAACATAAAATAAGAAGCTATGAAAGGAAAAATGCGGAAAGTAAAATGAATATATAAAAGAGGGGATTTAGTCAAATATACATAAGTGAGAATAAATATATACACTAGAACGTAACTTTATATACAGACCAAAAGTAAAAAGTACAAAAAGTGCAATAAAATGATAAAATTATGTACAAACCAAAGGTAAAAAGAAAGCATAAAGAAAAAGTAATGTCATATATACAGTCATCCAAATAGGGATACCCCCTCAAATGAAAGCTAGCATTGTCCTCAATGCTAACTAACCAAAATAAGCACAAGAAAAGAAAGAGAAGAAAAAGAAACTCCCTATTGGCCCTCCGTCTGTATAGGATCCTGAGTCTGGGTCCCTAGGTCCTCGGTATTCTCGGGAACCTGTGACTAGCTCCCTGTAATCTGTGTCTCCACTGGGACCTAGGCCTGGACTGAGTCCTGGACTTGTACTGGAATCTAGGGATGGCTAGAGGAATCTCCCTGCAGGTCCTTCAACTCTATAACAACATCGTCAGAACGGGGAATCACCCTCTTCCTCTTGGGTGGCCTCTCTGTCTCCTGCTCTGGCTGGGGCTGGGATGCTGGAGTCGGGTCATGCAATAACATATCCAGAGGCAAGTGATCAGCCTTCAACCTCTCTACCTCCACCCTTAACTTCTTCACTGACTCCTTTGAAGCACGAGTCTTTCTCATTTTCTTTGCCTCCCTAACAAGCTCCTTCAATGCCTTTCCATGAGAATCAACAACATCCATGAGCTTTTTCTGGTTGTACAGAAGCTCCTTAGGAGTATCCTCCACTGACTGCGGGACCTGTGGAAGAGGAGGTGCTGATTGGGCTGCCACCGAAGTAGATAGTACATACAACTTAGAAGTGGTTGTCTGCATCCAGTTATTGATAGTGGCAAGGGTCTGGCTGAGGCGGTGGGCAGTCAAGGATATGCTACGAATGATAGGATCTCTGGAACTATAGAAGTGGAGGGTCTTGGGGCCATGTCTAGAGTGGCAGAGGGAGGCTGAGTAAGAGCCACCACTACTACTGGCTCTTTAGACTGACCAGTTGAAGTAGTAGCTTTGCCCTTAGGGTCTTTGGGGTTGTCAGGACACTTGGTACTGTACCGGGAGAGCGGTGCCTTTTCTTTCACTTTCACATCAAATCTCTGCTTCTCCACATCTAGGTCCTCAAAGTACATGGTCAGGAAATTGGGGAATGGGTAGGATCTATCACCTTCGTTCACCATCCGTGTAAT